TTTGTATTGTTTTGATTTCTATTGGTAAGTCGTCATCCTACCCACAAAAACTTGACAGGTAAAATATATTTGAGTTGAAGTCGGAGATGTTGTCATCATCCTCTCTATCGTTGTTTTACATGTTTAATCACATCATTCAGATTCAGAAATGCGTTGTTGATGTTGCAGCATATTTTCCTTTTTTAGTGGTAGGCACTTTCCCCAACTTTTGTTTTTTATTTCTCGAGACCATGGAATGCAAAATGCATGGATATGTGGACAAGTAATAGCTGCAGTATAATTTAGTCTGTATTTGAGAATATGTTATTAAGTAACGTGGTGTGATACGATAATAATCATATCATTCCTTAAGTATTTGATTAGAAGTACGTGTCCGAGGTTTATTGTATATAAGTACATATTTTAAAAAATGTTAATTTTGTAAACAATTTTTTTATTTTGAGAAACTAATCTTATTTTCCTGTGAAGGGATAGTTCACCCAAGAAAAGATAATATATTATTAAGAATAACAAAAAAAGATCAAGAAAAATTCAATATATCTTTCTAATTTTTCTTTGCATCGTTTGTAAGAATGTCAACCCGATGAAATGGGTATAGATAGTAATTTCCTGTTATGTGTTTATTATTGAGATGCAAAAAAAGTCTCACATCATTTAAACAAGAGGATGAACATGAGTTTATATACACATAATTATCTTCATTGGTAAAAAGACTTTTTGGGTGGTATTTAAAAGCAAAATCATGAGGACTGGGCCTAAAGCTCAACAAGTGATATCAGAGCCGATGGTCTAATTAAGTGACCGACTCGATGAGTATGATGGACTTAGCAGTTATATCCGTTAAGTAAGTATTTGCTTATTTTTTCAATATCTGCAAATATACATGAGTATCTGTGAATATTTATTTTTAAAAAATTAATAATTTTAAAAAATATTTTAATAATAATTTTTTATTTATTCTAATAATTTCTTTAAAAATAATAATTTAAAAGTCAAACTTAAATTATTCAAGTATTGTATACAATATTTGTGCAGATACTATGATATTAATACCTATAACATTGTATTTGTTGAGTCACCTTTCTTGTTGACTTAGTTTATGTTGAAGGATCCAAGGTGGGATATAAAATTGCTGAAATTTTTTGTTTCCTCCTCTTAGGTTCCAGATAGTCGTAGAGCCACAATTCTGGAGGTTGAACATTTCTTCAATCTTTGGAGTTCATTTTCTTTCTTCCACCTCAAAGTAGTTGTCTTCATCTTTTTCCTCGATTTCACTTCGAATCCAAGGTAAGGGGAGCTGAAATTTTGGTTTTGATTGAGTAGTTGAGTTGTGTAGTGATGCTTGAGCTATATGTTGTATGAATTCTTTGGAGATTCATGACTGTGTTGATCAAATTGGAGTGGGTTACAAACGAGAGTTGGGATTTTTGGTGTTCTTGACGAAAAATTTAGAATTTGACAATCTACTTGGTGTGTTGTCATTGCATGTCTCTTCTTCTTTGATTTCTAAGTTGCATGTTGTTATAATTGGGAGATTTTGAGGTTGCATGCATGTATTATTACATAAGTTGAGAGAATTTTGGAGATTTGGTTGTTCATAGTTGTTGCGTTGTTCTTCAACTTATGTAAGAGTTTGTGGATTTGTGAGTTTTCACGCTTAGCATGAGGACTTGAGTGTGTCTCTAGGAGACAAAGGCTAAGTGTGAGTTTTCACGCTTAACATGAAGACTTTGGGGTACTTATAGGAGGTTGAGGCTAAGCGTGAGTTTCACACTCAACGTGAAAAGTTGCAAAATTCTTATATGACTCTTTGAAAACTTGATGCTTAGTGTGAGAATTTAGTCAAATAATTTTCTTCTCTAATTGAGTTGATTGCTTGCATAATGAATGAGTTGTATAATGAGCACTTGTTGTTTGAGTTGTTTTATGACTAAAAGAATATGAATATGTTATATGTTGAGGATTATGTTGTGAGTTTCTATAGTTGAAAGTTGAGTTGAGTTATAGGTCGTGTAGTTGTATAAATGTGTTAAATATGTTATATGCATGGAGTTGTTGTGTTGTTATGTTAAATATCACTTGGGAACTCACCAAAGTACCTAGCCTACTGAGAGGCTTTCTCAAAACCACTTCATGCTAGGACAAAACCTTCCTCCAAGCTCTTTCCTATCAGATTTGTAAGCCTTCTTCTCGATCTCCAACTCCCCTTGAAGTCGAACAATTTCACTAGCATAATTTGAAGTTGCCGACTTCAACTTTTGCATTGGCAATAGTAAGTCATCGTTCACTCGGTGCAGCCGATTAAGCTTGATCTCATACTTTTTGTTAGCATTAGTCGCGTCGGTCATGGCTACCAGAGGTCTCATAACACCTTCTTAGAGTCAGCCAACTTCTTCTTGAGTTCCTCAACTTCGATGTTTGACTCCATCATAATGCTTTGAGCAAGAGCTAAGGACCAAGCTTGCAACTCGCAATAATAGTTCCATTTGTGTGCAAAGTTGAGTTGGTCGAGAAACTCTTGCCCCTGTTCGAAAATTAAGTCTTGGCTCAAGAAATCTTGGATGCGATGTTTGTAGCCACGAAGCTTGGCTTTATGAAAAATTGTGACACAGAGAGAGTGGTCAACATCTGTTGTTTTAGTTTTTTAGCCACCTCTCATTTATGTCGTCGAGATTCTTTATAGCTTTCCCCTTCCCCCTATCCCTCTTGTTGCTCCAAGGAAGCTCAACGTCAATGAGCGAAGGGATCATCGCCCCACTCGACCCCCTTGGATCAGCACCTCGACCCCAATAGCTTGGCGTATTCGACTGCTAATAAATGCGATGTTTAGGCATTTAGGCAACGTGCTGTTGAGTTGTGATGACCAACCTAGGACTAGAGGAGATATTGTTTTTAAAGTTGCATATTTCATTGTGTGGATATTGTGTTGTAGTACTCTAAAAGTCCAATTTGTTGAAAAACTCTTCTTGGAAAGTTGACTCATGAAGAGGATACTTAAGTCCCTTCTAAGACCTTAGTTGGTACCTTATGTGGGCAAGGTCGAGGCATGCATGTATAAAATGACCACAATATAAAGGTTAAGTCGTGCTATACTAATTACAAGTGACTAATTGAGTAAAGTATGAAGTCGAAAACTTAGTCTCTAACTGAGTATTAGAAGGATATAGTATTTGGAGGATAGTTGGTGGGTTAATCCCATAAGAGACTTAATTAAGCTAACTAATGTTGTAATAGGCCTATACCTAGTTGTTTTTGGAAATAGTACTAGACTTTCTTATTTAAGTGACGACATTCGAGAAATCAAGTTATTGTGTTGTGGGTTGATATTCAATTTGGTGTTGATCTAGCAAATCAAAAAGTCACCCTGTGTTGTTTGTTTGATGGGGTCAAGCCATTTAAATTGTTCACTTTGTATTGTAGGTGATCTCCTAGTTGAAATGGGTAATGACGCATGTAGTTGTTGTGTTGTTGTAATGAAAAATCTAAGTTGCTGATGTAGTGGTGTTCAAGTTGATATTGTGTTGTAGTAGACTAAGTTGTTCATGTTAATATATGTTGGTTGTGTTGTGATGTTATATGTTGATATTGTTGAAGGTGCAAGGAAGATGTGTTGATATATTAATGTTGTGGATGTTTCTTGTTGTTTATATGTTGTCTCTTTAATTTCTAATTTACCCTTGCATATTTTTCATGTGGTTTAGACTGTGATGATCATACGTGATATGAAAGTAAAATAGGGATCGGTATGAGGTGTTGCAGCTGAGATGACTATTAGGAGGATGACGAGGTTGTTTATATTTTTTTGGATGTCATCGTAGTGTAGTATTATGTATGAGAGTTGTTTGACCAACAACTTAGATTGTATAACTTAATTTTACTAGATTATTGTATTTATATCACATATGGTTGTATAGTTGTTTCACTTTCACATGAATAATATATAGTTTTTAGAATAGTGAATTTAAGCCTAACTCAACCTTACAAAACTGGCTTGTAAGGTGAGGGTTGCTTTTCACTTATATACTATTTAATTGCCTAATATCTAGTTGATGTGGGACTTGGGTTTTTCCCAATACACCCTCTCACGTCCAGCACTATTGGCCTTGGTACGTGGATAAATGGTAGGTGACCATTTTTCAATGATTTAGGATTGACGGGACTTAAATACATCTCCTCATGCCCATGGTGCATGTATCAATGAATGGTGGGTGACCCATTTTTAAGAATTTAGGATAGCTTTGATACCATCTTAGAATAGTGAAGTTAAGCCTAACTCAACCTTACAAAACCAACTTGTAAGATGAAGGTTGTTTTCCACTTGTATACTATTTAATTGCCTAATATCTAGTTGATGTAGGACTTGAGTTTTTTCCAATAATAGTATACATTCAATTATTAGTAAACTTATAACTCTAAGTTATTAGTTGTTTTTACTGCTATCAGTTGTAAGTCAACTAAGTGTAGGAATCAAAGCGGATTATTACAATATTCACCCGTTAACATACAAGTATAAAAGATACTCGTATCCATTTTATACAAATACTCATTTACAATATCTATTTTCTATTTATAACAAATTTTATTCGTAATATATGTGGTTACGAAATTTTTTACATCCCTAATAATAGTATGAATATGTCGTTATCCTAACTTAAAACTAAGAAGGGACAAAGCATATCAGGGAATGATCATAGTGTTCCCAAAATATAACGAGACCAATTAGGTAGGACAAGACCGATTCTGAAACCCCATTGGCTTGGATTACAAAAGCAAAAAAGTTGAAAAGCTAAGAAACCATGAAAATTTTGGGTTCTATTTTTTTAACATCCAACTTTCACAAAACACTTGAGCAACCCCTTATTTATTTATTTTCCCTTTTTAATTTCTAATTATATTTTATAAAACATTTTTTAAGAGTGTTGCTCAGATGTTTTTGTTGTGTCCAAACAACATTTTTAGAAAATTTTAGGGAAGGACAAGGCCATCCAGGAAGTCAAAGATGAGCTAAGATTACTTTTTGTGTATGACAGTATGACTGCATACATTAGACTGTTATATTTGACAAACACTGTTCAAGTAATTTCTGTGATCTTACAACACAAATAAAGTATTTTTTTCTCTTCTCTCCTCCCTCCCATCCCTTTTCTTTTATTTGACTACACTAAACAACTCTTTAAAAGAGTGGAACCGGGTAGAGATAAAAGGATGAAGTAATAAATAGTGTTTTGAACAATGGATTTTGGATTAGTAATTATGATGTTGGTGTTGCTACTCAGGAAGTGGCAATGCAATAAGGTTCCCAAAACAGAAACGACCTTCTAGAATCCTTGCAACTCTTCAAATTGTGAACCAAGTAATCACCATTCTTCCCTCTCAAAACCAGCAACTGTTGTTGCTCATTTGAGAGCGCCTTGTTCTTGTTCCCAGACACAACGACCTTGCTCTTCAGGTTCTCTTGATGATGATGTTTCTCTTGGTCAAGTGGGTTAAGGTTAACACCAGTACCTTTTGATGTAGCAGACTTGGTCCTCCAACAATACTCATAAGCATTGAAATTGAAAGAACCCTTAACCATAGCTGGTGCTGATGGAATCAACCTAGCTACCCTTGGCCTTGGAGGCAACGATTGTGCAACATTAACATCCTCAAAATTGCTCATCTCATTGAACTTTTCAGACCACTTTGGATTCCTGTTCACCAAACCAATTGGCTTATTCTTGTTCATCATCAAAGCCAACTCATGAACACTACTTCTCACCCCACTAGACAATAAGGGTGCTTTCTCTATCACACTCTCATATCCCATCAAACCAGAATTGTCTTCAGTGGAGGATACCTGTAACCTGGTACCAAAAGAGTATTCATCTTCATTTTTCTTTTCACCCTCATACTCTTCTTCATAATCTTCATTTTCTTCGAACTCACACTCTCCTAAGTACTCTTCTTCCACATGATCATCATTCTCTTCTTCCTCCTCAAGGTGATTGGAGAAAGTGAGGACAAGGCGACCATCTTGGCGCTGAACACTGAAATTGTTTTGAGAAGGAACAGAAACAGCTTCTAGAACCAACCTTCCATTGTCACGGCGGGAATGCATGTGAAGTGAAGGAGCAGCTTGGTGATGATGAGAGAGTGAAGGGAGTGGCGGAGGAAAAGCACGTGGTGGTGATGAAGCCTTCTTTGTAGCCACTGGAACATAATTGTAAAACTCTTCTTCTTTTTTTCCTTCCTCTTGTTCTTGATTAGTTGGTTCTAGAAAAACTTTCTCTTCTTTCTTTACATCCCCTGTCTCAGAAGAAGGGTAAGAAGAGAACAACAAGCCATCAGAGCCAGTCTCGGATCCGAGACTCTCGGTGCAGATTTGGAGGCTCTTCTCACTTAAACTCTTTGACCTTTTCACAAGAGGGTGAACATAAGGTGTCACAGGAAGTGACTTGGAGATTTCATCTTTTCCCTTGAGGGATATGATTGTGCTCCACGTATCAAACGGTGCTGATTTCTCTTGTTCCTCCTTTTTGCTCTTTTGAATGGAGCTCCATATCTCAAGCCTCTCTCTTTCAGCTTCGGAGTCAGCAATGGTTTGAGAGAGCCAGTGCTTGGAGGACATGTCTGCAGAGAGAGTTCTTCGCAGGGAAGAACAAGAAGAAGCTGTGTTTGAGTTTGAGTCCAAAATGGTGATGATGCCCTGCTTCGGCATCGTGGTCTCTTCCTCTAGGCTTTGAACGTTGTTGGTCATAGTCATGGAGGTTGCTGACATGTCTAAGCACGAAGGAAAGTGTAACTCGCTTAACTGCACAAAACAAAAGACCAGAATTTAGAACAAAACACCAAATATACAACACCCCTTTAGAAGTGTACGTGATGATAACTATAAGATAGAGTGAAGTGAGACACAACCCACAAGTGTGCAAAAGCAAGAGAATTTCAAGTTTCAAAGTGGAGTCAGATAGGTAACATGCACGGGGTTTTGGAAAACGTACACCATAAATGAGGTGTGGCAAAAAAATATAAAGACAGAACTTTGACACAACTTTATATGTGTTGTTCAGCGCTCTTATCTCATCAGAATTAAAGTTTTATAGCTCAATTTTATTTAGAGAAACAACAAAACCACATAAGAAACTGCATGCAAGCTTTTTCAAAAATACAATTGAATTTTATAAAGTAAATTTACCTGAAGCAAGAGAACAATATCCAACAGAGGTCTCTTGTGAGAGACCACTGGGAGTGGAAGTTGCAAGTTGTAGTAACAAGGATGAGGATTGTATAATTTGTGTTGTACAATGATGTTGGAGGAATGAAATTGTTTGTGGTTGATGATGGCAATGGAGGGAGGGAATGAGGGTATTTGTAGGGGGCCAAAAGCTTTAAGAACCGTGTTCACTGGACCCTACCAAAATAATAATAATAATAATCATAAAATACTTTAAACATGACCTAAATTTTCGGTCCAGTTTCCACCAATGTCCTTCTTGTTGAGTTATACATCTACCGCGAACTCAATAAACAGGTGTGCTGTGGCCTGTGGACCACGTTCATAAACGTACACACAATATAAATAAATATATAGTTGCAAGAATATAGAACATATGTCACTCAAAAGTTTAACATGCAGGTATATATATACGTACGTCCACTCATTTACGTTAGACTAGAACCACTTTTGTTAACCACCTGAACATGAAATGTTAGTGCCATGGATATATATAGGATTCACTAATCTCTCTTACGTACGCCCATTTTGTTGTATTTCCACTGCTTTATCCAAAAAGGTGGCCGACATTACGAATGAATGCTCCCACAACCCTTTTTAATGTTTTTTCTCATTGGGGTAAAAACATATACTTCATTTAGCTATAAGAACCTCCTATTTATATATATGAAATAAAAAAAGAACAACAAAAATTAGTGGCTCGAACAAAATATTATCTACATGTGCTGCGTGGATTTCCATCGCATAATATACGGAAATTTCATTGAAGAGTATAACATCTTGTCGTGCACTATGTTCACACAAGTCGTTGTATGTTTGCTTTAGACTTAAATTTTTTTAAAATTTATTTTTGTTATCATCTAAAAGATTTCATATTAATATGCTGGTTTTTCTCTTATTTTAATGATGTAAGACTTTGATTATATCTCAATATATAATATTTTTATGTGTTTACCTTGGCATAGGTACGTTAGTGGATAAAATAACGAGTTGTCCGGAGCAAAATCTAGCAAAATCTTGTGCAATTATCACTTGTGAGTTGTTTCATTGACCCTGGAAAAAGACAGTGTGCCATGGAAGGAGCAATGAACTTTAGATGTTGTCAGTAAATATTTGACAAGAGAAATGGTTGAAGATATGGATCGGGTGGTGGCAAGTTATGATCTATTGGGGAAGAAAAATGACCAAACAAAGAGATTTGTCAATGGATACTTGTCCTCTGTGGTTGGCCCATTAACGATAGTTGTTACAACTGTTGGGTTATTAAGAGAAATGCTTCGTATCTAGATCTAATTGAAATCAGTAAAACCTGTCCTTTGGAGAATTTTGCCAAATTTGAAGTTAAACAGTCATGTTAATTCATGTCAAATAACAGATTAAATTGAAGTTGGCACTGTCTACAGTGGCTCTATAGAATTGTGTTATAAATACTAAATGTACACCTTATTAAAATTTTAAGTTGTTTAAAGAATAATTATTATACATTAGACCACTTTGTATTTTTAATATAATTAATACTTTTATTTTTAATATTTTTTTTTATTCCTAGCATCTTATTTTGTTCTTTACACAATAGAAAACCCGTTCAAGTTTAAGCAAAATGATGAGAGCTCAATTTTCTGTCACCCGACTTGCAATTCTTGTGCAGTTTATTGCTTTCAACTTATCCAATATATTGTTTTCAAATTTTGCATTATTGCATATTATGACCAACGCTCTAATCAAAAAGTTGCTTTCTTGCTAATTAGCGGAAAATATACTAATTTATTTCGTCAATTTTTCGGTGGCATTTGCCTTTTCTTTTTAGGTAACCATGTAACTAATTTCTTTGGAAAATTTGGCTGAATATATTTCAAATTCTGATGTTATCAGTGTAATTTTAATAATAATAAAAAAAAAGACTTGAATACAAAATTTTACTTGAGAAAATTTGAGTTTGATTCTACTTAAATCAAGAACTTGTTAATTGTGATTTTTTGTTGTTGAAATTTTAGATAAAAAAATTTCAAGGAAAATTCTTAGCAAGTTTTGCAGCAAATTATCAGTGCAGTTAAGTTAGCAAGTGGTTGGGCTGAAATAAGTTTGTTCAACTTTTCAAATCATAGATCAAAATCTGACGTGTTTATCTATTATAATTTTCTTTTAAGGTCCGATTTAACTATTTTAGACGTCTAGCTTTATTTAAAAGTTTTTTTAAGAAAACTTATTTTCTAATAAGATCTATTATGCACTACAAGAAAAATTATCCATACTTGTAGATGTTTTATTCTTATAGACTTGATGAACTTGAATAAAAAAAATATTCTACCAATAAATATTTAGTTTAAATAAAACTCGAATATTTATATTTATAATTGTTTATTATAGATAAAATTTTGAAAAAATTATTACTAAATAACTCACATAACGAATTGATAAATCATCTGTGGCTGAATGTAAATAGATATGAGTTAATCATCCATATATTATTAGTGTAAAGTTATCAATCATATTTTTTAAATTATTTTATTTTATTTTTATTTCATTAAATAAACAAATGATATGATACTATTAAAAGATATGATTGATTGCCAGTGTAAAAAAACTTTACATTAACCGTGTATAAGTGATTAACTCAGTAGATATTTGTAAGTATGGTTGTTTGCGGCTGGTCTTATGATCTTGTGACCTTTCTCCTCAATTATTTAAGAGTCATTTTTATATTAAGCTTGAAGGAGAGCAAATTAAAATAGCTGCTAAATTGAGGGGTCTTAGAGGACTAACTACTAAGTGCGGCATCGTAATTAGAAAGAAAAAAATGATAGCAATAATTTAAGAGACAATATTTATATGAAATAGTTAAATTATGTACCCATATTTTTGCTTTTTGAGAGAGGTTGCAATAATTATGTACTAATTTCGCACACATCAATTAGTACACTATGACATTGGAGCCCACTGGGAGACTACTCTTTTTAAACCTCTTCAACCATATTAGAAGTGAAGAAATTTAATTTATCCTAAAAGCTATTTCATGGGAAAAAAATTCCAAAAATTATGAGGGGTATGTTGACTTTATTTCTAACTAATGTGCAATATCCCAACAAATCTTGAAGCTCTTACATCTTATGGTAGAGTAATGTTGACTTTATTTATAATGGGCTTTACTGATATGACAAACCCACCATTTGAATGATTAAAATTTGGGCCTTTATTTGGTTCCTGTCATTTGTATGTTTGTCTATGTTGTTATCATCATTGTTCCCCTTGGTGTGTGTGGTAGGATATGCCGACTACTCTTGTATAGTTATATTGCTCTTGAAAAACTAAAATATATGTTTCTAAAGCTACTACATGTTACATTATCTCTTATGTCTCAAGGTTTCTTTTGGTTATCGTATGTACTTCGCTATCAACTTTTATGCATAAGATATTCCTCCAAATGATTTCAAATTTAGATTATGTTTGGATAAACTTTTTTTTAAGTAGTTAGAGAAAAAATATATCTCCATTAATTTAATCTAATTTGATAATCTGAAAGTCTCATTCTATCTAAAGTCTCTCCAATTGAAGACGGAGTGAAGAACTATAAACCTAAAAATTGAAGATGCTGCAAATGCAAGTGGGTTGGGCTATACACATCAATTACACAGGCCGTGGAAGAATATGGGCTACAAATTGATTCCTAATTTCATCATCACATTTCTCCTCCTTCATACGTAAGCTCATTGACTCAGCAAATTTAATTAGTGAAACATGGTCAGATAATATAATTTTATTTATGAATACCTCTTTACTTCAAAATTAATACAATTTTTTTCCTTCCTACATATGATATTCTATGCTGATGAAAGTAAAATTTTAGTCCAAATTTGTTATTGATAAATTAAAATAAATCATTATTTTTTTTATTACTATGTTATGAATATGTGCAAGGTATTTATTTGATGTGTTATCATCTTTAACAAAAAATAAATAAATTAACTACACATATAATTCAAACTCCTAATCTTACTTAAAAAAAAATTAAATACAATTTTACTTTGACCAAGATAATAATTTATTCATTTGTAGAATTTCGAGTGCTTAAATAACAAGAATTTAAATCAAATTCATTAACAATGTAAATATTTTTTATGCGATAAATCAATAAATCAATATAGAGTGTAATATAATTGAAAATTAATTAATTTTGTAGTAGTTACTTTCAAGATCATGTTTAAAATGATTTCAAACTTATTAGTATTATAAAAGTCTTTACACGGATGGAGTTTTAAAATTAAACTCAAACAAGAACATTGATTTTAAGGTTACATCAATGGCCCTTTGTCTTTATCTCTACCAAGAGGATTAGGTGAACTAATACTTCAAACATTGAAAGCATCTTGTTCAGCAAAAAGCTCAGCACTACCAACCAAAATCAATCTCCGCTTTCTGTGAATACAGATTCAATGCTTGAATGGTTGCCGCTAAAACAAACTGCACATGACAAGCCAATGAACACTTAATAGTGCTTGCTTAATATACAGTACTTCGGGAGCATAATGTTTACAAACATAGATATTTGAGAGATTCATTCGTATAATTCCAATAATAAACAGTTAGAAAAGTTGGACAAACACAAACACAAACACAATAAACTATATTTCACCTTCATAATAAAAGCCTATGATCCACAACATCAAGGATAAGATGCAAGCAAAGGGATAGGAATACATGTGGAATGCCTCCAAACCGTAGAGTGCAATTTGAGTGTCTCCCTAGCCCTCTCCTTGGCCTTGAAACTACCCTCCACTTGAAGGACCAAGCACAACTTTGACACTGCCCCAAATAGCAACATTTCATGAAGGACTCTTGGGGTGGCTGAATGCCTACTAATGGAGGTCAAAATTTTGACCCCTCTATCACTTCCCACTTGTGAAACCCTCAGAATCTTCTTTGACACAACAGCCACTCCAGCTCCATGGTTCACCAATTCAGCCCTTCCTTCTGCACAGCCACAAAGCCTGTTGTTAAAAAAACATGATTCAGAGGGGAGAAAACGAGAGAAACTGATATAGATGGAAGCAAAAATACTATTTGATTTATCAAAGTGTACATTAATTGAGCATGTTTTAATATAAGTCTATAAGAATTTTTCTACTAACGTAAAGATTTTTTTTTATAATATAGAAGTTTTTCGAAGCACCTTCGATCTGTATCTAAATAGACTCATAATATGATTGTGAGAACCTTTATATAGACCAAGTACAGATTACAAACTACATCTCTAATACCTGTCCAAAGCTATCAACATGAGTTCACATGTTCTCCTTTCAGACACATCAAGAAGTAGCTCAATGAGAACTAAAACCGCACCACCCTCAACTGCTTTGCTTCTGTTCCTTCCCCATGAACACAACCTCACAAGAAGCTTCAATGCTGCCTTAGAAGCCTCTTGTGAAATCTGATCCCTTAGAACTCTAACTATTTCCACAAACAGTTCTGATGTGACATTGCTCAATTGGGTTGGACCAGCCACCTCAAATGCTGACTTCAATAGCACAGCTGCATGAGCTCGAGATCGGAACTTTCCCAGCTTCAACACCTCAAACAAGGACTCCACAAACTGGACCCCCTCCTTGTTCATCAGGTTTTTAAGCTGAGATTCAGAAGGGTTTAGGTGGAACAACACTTCAAGTGCTACTTCACTCATGATAGCACTTGAATTTGAAACTCCTTGGCTTTTGTTCAACATCATGGTGGAAGCCAAGAAATCTATAGCCCCTGCAGAATTCAAACAGTTTTTGTTACTTTCACTTTCAAAAGCAATAAATTCAAGCATTCTAAGACACTTGAGCTGTTTCTCCGGGAACTTCTTTGATTCGAAGAGGGGTTTGAAAATTTCAGTTTGGTCAATGATTGACTTTGGAGATAAAATAGTTTGAGCTCCAATATTGTCGGTGCACCAAGCTTGGATCACACGTTGGAGAGTGTGGTTTGGAGTAAGATCATTGTGTGACAATGATTGCTTAGTAACAGGGCAGGTTTTGTTTTTGTTGCATGAAAATAACCATCTCTCTATGTTTTCTCTGTCGTATGTGATTCCTGTGCACACTGTCACAGGGTCTCTCATAAGCTGCAGAGAAATCGGGCACAGGAAAAGGGTAGGAATCTCTGTTTCATCCATGTTTGGAAGGATGGATGATGGAATTGGGTTCTAGCAAAAAAGAAATAGTGCTGGTTTTTGGTCTTTCTTTGAATTTTAATATGGAAGACTAGAAGAAAAGGAAAAAAATAAATGACAACCTTAAATTAGCTACTAATTAAGTTGAACATTTACAGTTATATTGTCAACTCTAAACTAACAATTCAGCTTTTAATATTTTTTTAATAGTGATTTGCCTTTTAATATATATATTCGTCTCGATATTGTTTTAGCAGTTAAAATTAATGCAAATCCATATAACGAAAAGTATGTTTGTTATCTATATCGGGGATATTCGATATAAACATTATAGTGATCGTAACACCTGTCTAAATTATCTAAGTTATAAAAAGTTGATGTGATGTTCTTAAAGATCAATTTACTTTAATGTTAAAAAAAATATTTGGTTAACAGAAAATCACATTTATAAGTATATATTAGTCTTTGATTTTGATTGTTAAGTTTAAAATAATATATAAATTATGTTTATGGATTAAAAAAATTAATTTGAACTTAATTATTTCAAAAACACCTATAATGTATGCTTATATATAAAATTGATTATATATTTTTTGATCATTTTCCTCTGCTTTTTTCATTTTTATTTTTAGATAGTTTTATTTTCAATTAATACAAATATAGTACGAGTAAAGTTATGTTTCTTCCTTAGCTAAATCTTCTAAATTATCTAATGGGATCTTAGTCTCTTTTTAGACGGGGATAAAAGAGTAAAGTTATGATATAATATATTAGGAGCCATAACTTTCTTATTATAGTGTGTTAATCTAAAAAAAAGTCATTATCTTCTAATGAACCAACATTGATATCTGTTCATTTAAGTTCATATTATCTAATTTAGTAGTTTAGCTAACTCACTTAATTTGACTACATAAAATAAATCCATTAATGATAAATAAGAAATATAGTTATTTTATAATATTAACCCAAATTAATTTTTAAAATATAAAATTTTAACGTCTATTTGATACTTGATAGTTTAATAAATATTAAAGAAAGAAATACTAGATTTTTTTATATTAATTGTTAGATGATATTTTTTATTGATTCTAGTAATCTGATCACTCTAAAATAAAAAAATGAATATCAAATATTGTATTAACTTGTTTAATGGTACCCAAAAAACCTTGTGGAAGATAATTAAGGTACGAATTATTTATACAAGTTGTTCTGAATGATAAAGTCAACACATGGAAATGAATATGTGGAGATGGTGATGGTGAATTAGTTAAGACCTGTCCCAAGCTTTATGTAATACCTTATGACTTTCTTTAGCTCTTAGGGTATGTGGGAGATAGAATAATAAATGATGAACTACAAGGCCTTCAACTTTCACAATTTTGAGCTACTATCGCTATTGCAAATTGCAATTGCAATTAAGCCTGATGAGAGAATTTTGATTTTTATTTATAATATTTTCAATTTTAAAAAATAAAATAAATTAAATGGAGATTCGTATTTGTTTTCTCCCTTTTATCTTAATGACTGCATGGTTGGAGCTGACAAGCATGAGCCCAAACTGTATCCTCTTTCTCTCACTTTTCATGCCTCATCCATTAATGCTTTCTTTCATAGTTTACTGAATAGATTTAATGTTATGTCACATGATTGTGTTCAGATTTTATATTTGTTTTATTTTTAATGAATATCATGAAACTCTTTCAAACAGTAGTTTCCTTTTAGCCAATACCTTATGACTTAATTTTTATATTAATTTGTAATATCTTTTAAATAATTTATTTTACAATTAAATTATAAAATTATAATTATATATAAATTTTTCCCGAATCTACATAAGGATGACCCTGAAAAGTAAATCAAAAGTGTTATTTTATCTGGATGAACCTTGATTGGGATTTGAGAAGTTGACAGATAAGAAAAAGTCCAGAGAGAAAAAAAAAATACATTAGATTTCGAATACTTTTCTTATCCCATGAGCCACCGAAAGAAAAGGCAAGAATGAGGGAGAGATACTAATTTATATATCTCAATTAAATTAATTGACTTTTTATATATATGTCATTATACATAATGAAGCTTAGTAGATAAAAAAAATTCAATATTTTTCATTATTATTTCAATTCAAACAACATAAAAATCAATTTTATGCTTTTCTTTTATATTTATTTTCATTTTATTGCTATCTTATTTCTTTATTTATCCAAATATAGTGGAGAGGAAAAGAAGAAAAAATTATAAAATTTAAAATAAATAAAATTTGAAAAAGAGAAATTATATGATTTTTTTTTTATATTTTCTTTCTTGTTTATTAAAAGCTCAATATTATATGAGATAGTTTTTGGTTCACCGGAACTATATGGCCAAACATAGCGTAAATAGTTGAGGTGGTTTGATAATAAATATAAGCCAATTAGTCTGATAACAGTCAAAAAGAGCATCCTTCAGTTTGAGAAGGCATTTATTTCAGTATATGCTGTCAGTGGCAAACTCTTAAACCTCCACTTCAAGTTCAACCATTGACCCCAATCCATAATAATAGTTTCTGACTTTTAATTAAATTCTTGGCTATTCAAATTCTAATTTCAGATGTTGAATAAATCAAGTCAGAAGAAAATATTCATGATTTTGAAAGCTTTTGGTTGAAGACCTTCGCTCTTTGATTTTTCGATTCTGAACCTTTAATTATCATGTAAATTTTACTTGTAAAAGAGGTTTCAATGTGAAAGTTAACAAATAATTGAAATAATTAATGGTGTGTTTGGATGATGAATTTTACAAATTTAAAGAATTTGAAATTCTTAGTATTTGAATTATTTTGATTTCAATTTCTATTATTCTTAAAATATTTTGTTTGGATAAGTCAATTCAATTTTTTTGAAATTTTAAATTGTTAATTTGGATATGATAATTTGATTCTATTAATGATAAAATTGATTTTAAAAATATATTTATATGTTGAGATTTTTAAATAAAATTTTATAAAAAAATATTAACCAATTTTTAAATATTTAATAATTTTAAAAATTAATATTAGATAATATTTAATAATTTTTAAAGTATTTTTGAATATTCAATAATTAAAAATATGAAGATATAAGATAAAATATATAAGTGAAATAAGGGAAAAAAAATATGAGGAATTTCAAATTCTTATCTTTTTTGGGAGAATTTGAAATTCTACTATTTCAAAGAATTTCACAAATGTTTGGATTTTAAATTCTTTGTAAATCCTCCATCCAAACAAAGTATTTCACCTTAAAGAATTTGAAATTCTTCAAACAAATGAATTATTCCATTAAAATTCTCCATCCAAACATATTTTAAGTGTATAATGTATATATTATGTAATTTATGATAATTTGATGCAAGTATATTTATAGGTAAAAGAATATTATTATTGAGAATTTAGAATATATTTAAAAGTTTTTATTATTTTATTTTTTAATAATACTAAATTAAATATTCTAATTATTTTATAATAAATTAAAATAAAAAGATAATAAAATATTTTAACTGGTATTTCAAATAAAACACATTAAAATATTATAATCAAAAGAAATCCAGTATTAAATCAAAAGATTATAAAAATCATAATTAAAATTATAATAAATATTTTGATATTAAATATTTGTATAAAGATATTGCTACATATTTTAGATTTTATTTATTATATTTTATAATCAAAAGATATCTAATATTAAATCAAAAAGATTATAATAATTATAACTCAAATCCAAATAAATATTTTGATATTAAATTTATTATATATTAAAATTAATTAAATATTTTTATCAAAGAAACTAATACAAATTTTAGATTTTATTTACTATGTTTTATAATCAAAAGAAATCCAATATTAAATTATAAGATAATAAAAATTATAAGCTTCTGTATTATATACATATTACTTTCCCAAGAATACTAAGAAATCAAGTTGGTATAACGGTATGGCTGCTGGCTCATAACCCCCACAACCAGGGATCGAATCCTAGCTTTGTAATTTTAGTTGAAAAATGTGGGAAAGTCACATTGGTTCAAAATTTAATAAAAAAAATTTAGCTACCGAAATTTAATCGGTCGCTAAAAAATTCAAAAGTTCAGTATTAGCGACCGAATTTAATTCGGTCGCAATTCTTTGATAATTATTTTCAAAATTGGTCGCTAATTCCGTCGCAAATTATATTTTCATGAAACACAAGTAAATAGCGACCGATTTAGCGACCGATTTTCTCGCTACCACTCTAATCCGTCGCTAATTCGGTCGCAAAATAGCGACTGAAAAATTTCAGTCGCTAAATCGGTCGCTAAACAGCGACTGATAAATTTCGGTCGCTAAATCGGTCGCTATTTTAATCGGTCGCTAAAAATTCGATCGCTAATTTCGGTCGCTATTTTGTATTTTTCTTGTGTTTCATGAATTTGAAATTCTACTATTTCAAAGAATTTCACAAATGTTTGGATTTTAAATTCTTTGTAAATCCTCCATCCAAACAAAGTATTTCACCTTAAAGAATTTGAAATTCTTCAAACAAATGAATTATTCCATTAAAATTCTCCATCCAAACATATTTTAAGTGTATAATGTATATATTATGTAATTTATGATAATTTGATGCAAGTATATTTATAGGTAAAAGAATATTATTATTGAGAATTTAGAATATATTTAAAAGTTTTTATTATTTTATAATAGTCGAATGTTATTCTTTTTCATGATTACGATGAAATGTTTGACAGGTCAAATATTTCTTGAACTTATAGATTTTCATTTAGTATCCTTTTGAAATAGACAATAAACAATATTTCAATCTTAAGACCTCTCTGATACAAGTATCAATAAAAAAGTTTAATATTTATACTAATTTGAATCATAAAGTCACAAGTAAAAACATGTTTTTTTACTAATGTGAGAATAAAATAATTATTAATGTAAAAAAAATAAAGATTTAAATATATTTTTAATTCTCATAAAATGTATGAGTTTTGATTTTGGTCATTATAAAAAATTTTTCTTTATTTTTCATCTTTATAAAATTTGT